CGTCCGAGCGCTGTTGCTGCTGCTGCTGCGTGTGGCGTCCGCTGCTGTCCCAGTGGGAGCCGACGACGATGATGATGTGGATGATGATGATGTTGTTGTTGTTGCTGCTGTGGACGTCTGGCCCGCGCCGGGCTGCCTAGCGGCTCTCCCCCAACCGGGAGCGTGGCGGGCTCTCACGTTCATCTGAGGGAAACGGGACACGGCAGATTTTTTTTCGGGTTTTATTTATAACAAGAATTTTACAGCACTTGCAACAACACAAAATGGCCGTGTAAGTGCCAAAGATTACAGAAAGGTGTTACTAAAGAGTATCACAAAAAGGCAGAATGTTGCACGCCTTTTCAAGTATCAGATAAAGAAATCAAAATAGAAAAATCTGCTTGAACAATGAAGCTATGTCCCAAAACATCATCTTTGAGTGTTGGCAAATGACCAAAATGTGCGGCCTCAAAGAGTGAGGCGTACAAAGCATGCTGTCGAGCATTGATATGTGCTATGTGCTTTATAAACACAATTCTTGCTATTACGTTTCCGAATGTTCCACGGTCTGCTAGGGGAATAATATTTGTGAACCGCTTAAAGCGTTCAAAACAGCTTCCATAAGAGAGGAGGTAAAATCAGGACATATACAGAGACAGGAGGTCTAGCCACCACTGCGGTCTGCAGGAGCCATTGTACAGCCTGGTGGTAATGTACTAGCTTGTCCACTACAGAAATACTGTAGTCTATTGGTGAATAACTTTTGATTCCAATTGTCTTGACCCTTTTAGTTTTAGTAGAGGTTTTACGGTGCTCGCAACTACATAAGGTCATATGAGCGCCAGAAGATTAGAGGTGTTACAAGAGAGTACATGTAACAAACATAAAAAAGAAAAAGGGGAGATAAAGACGGTAGAGGTTTGATAGGAAAGAAGGAGCACACCACACCAGAGCACCCGCCAACCATCAACTCTTGACCCTTTAGATTTTAAATATACGACAATCTAGATTTGTCTCTTCAAGCAATATATTTTTCAATGTTATAGACTGACGTCAAAGGGCACCTCTCCCTGGCACAGTTGACCTTTTTCTGTGCATCCATCTGTGGTTAAAGATGAACACAAAACCAAACCACAGTGCAGCTCTATAACGACCTTCGGTATAGCGACATTATGATGCCCAGGTCCCGATTTTTGCCCGATTTCATTGGAAATATTTTTTGTTGCCTCTCTTAGTTTAGTTTTAGTAGAGGTTTTGCGGCACTCGCAACTGCATAAGGTCATAAGAGCGCCAGAAGAATTAGAGGTGTTACAAGAGAGTAACAAACATAAAAAAGAAGAAGGGGAGATAAGGACGATAGATGTTTGATAGGAAAGAAGGAGCAAACCACACCAGAGCACCCGCCAACCACCCACGTTGCCTCTCTATAAGGACAACTCTCTATTACGACATTTTGTTCTGGTCCCGACGATGTCGTTATAGAGAGACTGAACTGTGTACACGGTGTGTGCCAGTGCTGATAAGGAGAAAAGGTCAAAAAAGAGGAAAATATTCTGCCCCCCCCCCCCCCCCCCCCACAACCAGGATGCGTAATTTCAACACAACTCTAGAATGGAGATGTTGAGAGAATACACAACAAGAGGTGATGTCCGGGCCGGGGGATATCGCGCCTTTTTTTTAGTGCGGAAAAGCGTTCTGGGGGGAAGGTTTTGGAAAAGTTGGAAGGACAACCCCCCCCTGTTTTTTTTTTTTTTAAGACGCCCCTTTCTTTTTTTCCACCTTTTTTTTTTTTGGGCCCCCGGGATTTTTTTTAAGAGGGGGGGCCCACCCTGTCACCCCGGGGTGGCCCCCGTGTTTTAAAAAGAGAAAAAATCCAAAAAAGAGGGGATTTTTTTTTTTGCCCCCCCCCCCCCCCCCCCCCCCCCGCGTTGCAATCCCGAAATTTCAACATACAACTCTAATACTAGTAATATTTTGGAAACAAAAAACAAACAAACAAAAAAGCGGAAATCCGCGGATCTACGGAAAATTATCAGCACTGGTGTGTGTGTGGCTAACCTGGAAGCCTTGTGAGATATCCACAAACGCCACAAAACAAAACTACACGCCGTGTGTGTGTGTGTGTGTGTGTGTGTGTGTGTGTGTGTGTGTGTGTGTGTGTGTCTCACCTGGAAACCTTGCGAGAAGTCCACAAACGCCTGCATCATCCCCGGCGTGGGGCCCGGGCCAGCGTTGAAGTTTGCCGTGATGGGCGGGCCCTCATTGCCGGGGGGCGTGTGACCAGCGCTGCCCGTGGCGGGTGTGGCTGATGGGATGCCACCTCTCGTCCGAGCGCTGTTGCTGCTGCTGCTGCGTGTGGCGTCCGCTGCTGTCCCAGTGGGAGCCGACGACGATGATGATGTGGATGATGATGATGTTGTTGTTGTTGCTGCTGTGGACGTCTGGCCCGCGCCGGGCTGCCTAGCGGCTCTCCCCCAACCGGGAGCGTGGCGGGCTCTCACGTTCATCTGAGGGAAACGGGACACGGCAGATTTTTTTTCGGGTTTTATTTATAACAAGAATTTTACAGCACTTGCAACAACACAAAATGGCCGTGTAAGTGCCAAAGATTACAGAAAGGTGTTACTAAAGAGTATCACAAAAAGGCAGAATGTTGCACGCCTTTTCAAGTATCAGATAAAGAAATCAAAATAGAAAAATCTGCTTGAACAATGAAGCTATGTCCCAAAACATCATCTTTGAGTGTTGGCAAATGACCAAAATGTGCGGCCTCAAAGAGTGAGGCGTACAAAGCATGCTGTCGAGCATTGATATGTGCTATGTGCTTTATAAACACAATTCTTGCTATTACGTTTCCGAATGTTCCACGGTCTGCTAGGGGAATAATATTTGTGAACCGCTTAAAGCGTTCAAAACAGCTTCCATATGCACAACATAAATGCAATTATTATTATTATTAGAACATCCCCCCTCCCCCCCCCCCACTCACACAGAAACTGCTTTTTAGTTTTAGAATAGAGTTTTACGGCACTTGCAACACAATAAGGTCATATAAGTGCTGAAGATTAGAGGTGTTACAAGAGAGTAACAAACATAAAAAAGAAGGAGGAGAGATCAGGACGATAGGAAAGAAGAAGCAAACCACACCACAGCACCTGCCAACCCCCCACTGAGAGATGTTTGAATAGGCAAGAAGGAGCAAACCACACCAGAGCACCCGTTAACCACCCACTGAGAGATGTTTGAATAGGAAAAAAGGAGCAAACCACACCAGAGCACCCGCAAACCACCCACTGAGAGATGTTTGAACAGGAAAGAAGAAGCAAACCACACCACAGCACCCGCCAACCACCCACACACAGAGAAACTGGCAGCAAGGACATACGTGTATGGGGATGGCCATACTGTTGGTGCCGGGGATGGGGAAGGAGGAGGGGGGCGTGGCGGTGACGGTGCGGGGGACCTCCGTGTTCATGTCCACCATCACGTCGCTCAGGCTGTGCATCAGGTGACTCATGGCATGTAGTGCCTCCGACACGCGGCTCATCACCTCCTGGGCGTTGCGCGCTTCCTGAAACACACACACACACACAACACACATACAGGATCATCAAATACCTTCTCCGTTTTTGGGGGTTTTTTTGCGTCACAGTTTTACGGGACTTGCATCACAATAAGGTCTTAAAAGTGGCTGAAGAATAGATGTGTTACGAAAGAAGGAGCAAATCACACCAGAGCACCCGTCAACCACCCAAATACCTTCTCCTTTAGTTTTACGGTACTTGCAACACAATAAGGTCATATAAGTGGCCGAAGAATAGATTTTCTTTTTGTAAGAGTTTTACGGTGCTCGCAACTGCATAAGGTCATATGGGCGCCAGAAGATTAGAAGTGTTACAAGTGAGTAGCAAACATAAAAAAAAAGAAGGGGAGATAAGGACGATAGATGTCTCATAGGAAAGAAGGAGCAAACCACACCAGAGCACCCGCCAACCACCCACATACCTTCTCCATAGCTGCCCATTGTTCAAAACCAAAAACCAGACAGTAACCTTGGGACAGACAAAAATGGTGGGCACTGGACAAGAAACTCCCCTTTATCAAAACTTTCACACACGCTTTTCTGCATTCAATAAATCCAAGCTGTACAAAGTAGATCCGCAACAATCTGTCAGAAAGGTTTAGTAAAGACACCTCCAAGTTAGATAGTGAAGTGTTTCATATTAACCTCATCAGTAAGTCGTGTTTTACTGTCGTATCCATACGACGTGGGGAACTCTGTGCAACCACTTTCCAAAGAGGAAATTTACTCCTTAATCTGATCCGTACGCTTTGCATAGCAGTCAGTCAGAATGATTTTTTGAGAAATACTGAAAGTTTCAAATAGATCTTCATACTAGAAGTATTCTAAAATGCGAAAAACACAACCCCGGGGGTACAAAATGACCCCATGGCGTACGGATAGGGTTTAGTACTATATGTAGCATGAGCAAGAAAAGTTTTCAAAAAGCTGTCACAGAACAAAGGTCAAAGTGGCGCTTTCCTCACGTTTGGGGAAAACGCATTCGTATACCAAACACGTTTTGTCCATGCTCAGTTACACGTACTGTGAAGTACAAATAGAGACGAAATCACACCACACACAGATCTTGCTCTGGCGGATATTCTTTATCCACAGGAATTTCAGAACATGTCGAGAACTTCCTACACATGAAAAAAAACCCCCAACCCAACCACCCCCTCCCCCTCCCCAAGGCGAGAACTTCCTACACATGAAAACCCCCCCCCCCCCAACCCAACCACCCCCCCCCCTCCCCAAAGTGAAAACCCCAGCAATCCCCACCGACTCAAACACGCTACCTGCGAGGCCTGTGGGTAGTTCTGCTCGTTGCGCAGGTAGTTGCGGTAAAGTCGCAGGTGGGGCGTCATGCGACTGTTGGTGCTCAGTACACGGTCAAGGAAGTCGGCCAGCTCCGAGGCCATCAGTCCTCTGTGGGGGGCAAAGTGGGGGGAATGGGCAGGGTTTTTTTGTGGACAGGTTTTTATTTTTGTATACGCTTATTATTTGCGTAAGGTTCATTTGTGGGGATAGGTTAATTTGTGTACAGGTTTATTTTTTTATACGTTTATTATTCGTATACAGTTTTAACACTGTAAAGTTATTTATAAGGAGGTACTTCCAAATTAAATGCCCATCTTTGATACAATAGAACCGAGCCAAATGGGAAAATTTGTGTAAAGTGCCTTTCTCAAGAACAAAATGTTGGGCCTAGCTGAAGCTTGCAATGTCGAACTCATAATCTCACAATCACAATTCCCGTAGCCAAACCACTACATTACCAACGTCACCCGGTGGTGGTCAAAGCGCAAACTTTTCAAACATTAAAAAAGGATAGCATCGACCCATGATAAAGGTAATTCAGGTCAGTGCAACTCCAATACAAGTTAAAGATGAGAATAGTAATAAAGTAGGGTGATCAACCATTCAAGTGTTGCTAACAACAGCCTGGGGTGTGAGGGGAAATGACGTGATTTCCCCATAGTTTGTTGGAGCTTGCTCAGTATCACAACAGACAGCCAAGAACATCATCAAATGCAACACCAGGGAGCAGTGGCTGAATGGATGGGCAATGGGCAAAACTGGAAGAACTGTATTTGCACACATGACAGCCCCCAACTCTAAAGATGCAATAAATTCCCTAAGTAGAAGAGAACAAGTCACGGTTTTTTGCCTGCGAACACAACACATACCACTAAATTCCTACCCTAATAGGATCTGCAAGGATACCCCACCCGACTGTCCGCTGTGCGACTGTCAGGATGAAACAGTACCACACCACCTCTTTAACTGCCCAGCACTTTGTGACCTACAAAGCACCTACCTACCTGCCTCCTCTGACATCGGAAATACTCTATACAGCGACAAAGCACAGCTGATTAAAACCTGCAAATTCTTTGCCATATCGACAGGCCGAAGGGCTAGAACCCAAATGGCCGCTGGATCGGAAAAGTAAAGTAAAGTGAGTTGGAGCTCGCTTGAGAACGGGCAAAGCAAGCAAGCAAACCAAAAACCAATACATCTTCCTAAAATAGAATGTAAATAGGAAGTAGAGCTCATCTGTGAAGGAGATGAAATGTTTGAAGATTAAAATAAAAGCAGGATAAACCAAAATAGCAACTCAAATCATATGACCAATTAAATCGATCGCAACACGACAGAACAAAACTTAAGACCGTCGCCACTAAGAAGGCTCCTTTACTTTACTTTTCCGATCCAGCGGCCATTTGGGTTCGAACCCTTCAGCCTCACTAAGAAGGTTAAAAAAACCCACGTAAGAATGCAAGCAAAGGCCATAAACCTAGACACTTCAAACAGTAAAATGTAAATAGGAAGTGTTCAAAATGTTTGACAACATAAAAAAACCTAGGATAAATTAACTGAAATAGTGACTCAAATTACGACCGATTAAACTGATCCCAATAACAACATAACAAAACTTACGACCATCGACACTAGGAGGGCTACCCCCCCCCAACACATAAGAATGCTAGCCTGCAACAACTCACGTGGGAGATTCTGCCCCCGGAGGTTCCGAGCCCTCTGGTGGGGCCTGCGACTCCCGTCGCGAGGAACCCTCGGCGTCTTCCGGCGGCTGAGCTGAGGAGCTTGTGTCCATCTCTTCATCCTGCTGTCTGCCTTCTCCGGCCGCTGTCTCTGACTGGTCAGGGGGAGGGCAGTCGTTGACCGTGATGCTGGTGCGCTCCTGGGGGGGGGGGGGGGGGAACATTTACGACATTGTTGTTTAAGTTCTAGTGAGGGTTTTACCACACTTAGTTTGGTTTTTTGTAAGTTTAGATAAGATAAGATAAGATCAGATAAGATAAGATCAGATAAGATGAGATACATCTTTATTGTCCAGATCCTGGCACATTGGTTTGGTGTTTCACTATGTACACACATACACGCATATACACACACAGACTTGCAACATAATTAGGTCATATAAGTGTTGAAGATTAAAAAGGTGTAGCAAGAGAGCAACATACAAAAAAAAAAAAAGAAGAAGAAGAGATAAGGACAATAGATAACTAAAAGGAAAGAAGGAGCAAACCACATTAGAACACCCGGCAACCACCCACTACTAAACGTATTTGAAAAACCTTATCAGATGGGTGACGAGGAGACACCAGAATCATGTGGGACTTTTGACAGTCATCTAAACAGAGAAATGAACGAAGAACCATGATTGTCCATGTCAGCTTCACAGCTGCCACTTTATGACGATAAGAAGTGGGACCTCCGCATTAAATATCCATATCTGATAGATTCAAGCCAAATGGGTTGAGAGCCTTCAAAACTCCACATAACGACCCGAGGTTAAGAAAGCCCAGTCTGGGATTCGAACCAGGGGCAGCTGCTCCATAGTCAAGCATGATACCAACTGAGTTAAAAAATAAGGAATGGCCCCTTCACAGCTTCCAACTTTTTTCATCAGGTCAACGCTACATGTGTTGCAGCACTTTCATTTTTCACGGAATGACCCATTTGTTTGTTTGTCTCTTTGTCGTAAAATGCATGGAGCAATCACAGGATGGAAAAGCGCTACATAGATGCGATCAATTTCAATTCACAGGATAAAAATAAAGTGCACCCCTATAGAGCCCACTCCCTGGTGGCTTCAGGCGTTTCACAACAAGATAAAATTTGAATTTGAACAAAAATGTTTTTAAAGCTTACACATTTCACTCATACTGGCCCATTCAACATACAACAATCCTTTCAAATACATATTATATATACCCGGTAATCTCACAAAAGACAATCGCATCAGCACAATATCGGTCATATAGTGCAGGGAATAACAAGACCGACAGACACAAACAACAGAGGGAAAGAAAAGAAGCAAAATAATAATAATAATAATTGCATTTATATAGCACATATCCATGCTCAAGCTCTATGCGCTTTACAACTATGATTACCCCAGCAGACCCTCTGAGAACACTCTCAGCTTCCAAGGAAGCATACAGTGCAAGCTGCGGATTTCACGCGCTCAAACACTATCAAACTGTCAAGATCTTTCACTGTCGATAGCCGGGTACAGTTGCGAGTCTGAGAGCCTAACCACTTGGCCACCGACAAAAAAGCAGGAGCTACCAGTGGTGCCCTCCAACCACCCACACACTCGTTCAACAAAGAATCAAACTTCTTAGTAGCAAAATAGCGTTTCCAGAAAAAATGTTATTAGACCAGACTTACTTCTAGAAGGTCAAGGGCATCGTTGATGAGCCCCAGGTTGAATTCGGCCTGTCGGATGCGACCTCGGGCGCCGCGAGTGCTGGGGTTTCCCTGGACTCGGCCCACATGGATCTGCACGTCCAGCATGTTGCCGTCCTGAAATGTAGCCAGCGACAACATTTAAAAAAAGTTTTTGTAGTAAGAGCTTTTTTTTAGATTTAGTAAGTCTTTTACAGCACTTGCAACACAATAAGGTCATATCAGTGCCAAAGGTTAGAGGTGTTACAAGAGAGTAACAAACACAAAAAAGGAGGGGGAGATAAAGACGATAGACGTTTGATCGGAAAGAAGGAGAAAACCACACCAGAGCACCCGCCAACCGCCCACTCCTGAAAAGTAGTAGACAGCGACAACATTTTTACAAAAGTTTTTGTAGTAAGAGCTTTACAGCACTTTCTACACACTTAGGTCATATAAGTGGCAAAGATTCGAGGTGTCACTAGAGTGTGGTACACATGTACAAAGAAAAGAAGGAGAGGTGAAGACCATAGATGTCAGACAGAAGGAAAGTTGGAGCATATCACACCAGAGCACCCGCCAACCACCCATACATACATAGTACTCTAAGCGCTGGAAGGGGAATGGCAAAAATGACGATGAGTAGAGGAAGAAGTATTTTTTAAACACTGTTCTATTCTGCCGTGCAAAGGCAGAGCGATGTATCTGAACTTTTTATGATTCTGAGTTACGTCGCGCTGCCTTTGGGAATATGGGCATGGCCCTTCAGTTACGTCTGTTTGCCACAGTGAAATCTCCTATTTGTAGTGCAGATACGTCTTTCTGCCTTTGACACAAGACGCAGAATGGGTATAGGCATCCATTTAAACGATAATTTTTGCAGATACGTCGGTCAGCCTTGGCACGGCAGTATTACAAGACCTACAAAATTGGAAATCAAACTCATGTCTCCTGTGTGCCACAGCAAAGCTCCTTACTGCTACACCACGGATGCCAGTGAATGGTTATTCAATTCATTCATGGTAAAGAAAAACAAGATGAACAGACAAAGAGAAAAAAAAAGAAGCAAAAACTTACTAATGGCTCTGTGCAACCACCTGTCTAAATTCTGTCACCTATAAATTTCAGGTGCCCTTGTATGGGTTCCGTCATTATGTGTAACAATTCAAACACAGTGTTCTAAAACCATAGTTTATAATTCTTCACACACTACATAGATGTGATCAGGGTTTTCTGATGGACTAATGGAGAAAAAAAAATTGAAGAGCTCTGGTTTTATCGCAGTACTTGAAACGTCTGCAGTATCAAAAGCAACAGAATCGTCAACAAAACCCAAATGATAGACGTGCTGACAAAATCAGACACTTCTCGCAATCCACAAATGGAGATACTGGCCAAAAATTGACAACAGGGTCAAATTTGCAGATTTTCTATTGATGCCATATTCTGTAAGTATAATAAGCCTGTTATTATTTAGCAATGACAATGAAAAATTAAATTTTCATCCAAATTGCTTAAAAATGGACTTAAATGAAAATACAGTAAATTCTAAGAACTGTGGTTTTTAAAAATTAAAAATCCATTGATAAATAAAAAAGTTATTGGGATTTTTGTTTGCAAAATGTTGGAGGACCTTCATATAGGAAAAAATCGCCAAAATGTGGGACATGTTTTGATGTATTTTGAGGAAAAACTGTTCATAAGTCAGTTATGAATTGGAGCATATGAATTAAACTTGGCATCTCCATGTGATTTTTAGTGCCGAATCTAGTTCTGCTATCACTTTTTCGATGTCTTCATTACTTTGGATCTTAAAGACTGATATTTGCGTGAAATTTGTTGAATTGCGTGACATCGTTTTTACCGCGACGCGATCACCCCTTCTAAAACTCAGTAAAGCGCTATCGGGAAAACCCGCGATGTAGTCATCGGTGACCCATTTGGTTAAAGGCAGCCAATCACATGCCGCCTAGCGATCACGCGCCTCTTGCGTGCCGGCACCTCGCGTTTGGAATGCGCTATCAAGTTTCTAGATCTAGGGTTTTATCAATGGATGGGTGGTCATTTTAAGTTGGTACGGAAAATCTACTAAACGCAGAGATCTGAAATTTTACAGCAATAAAGAAGACATGTGGGGCGCTTGTGTGGTCGGCGATCAACCCGCAGCTCCGCTTAGTTTTCGAACCGCAGAGGAAATTCGCACAAACACGGCAATATCTCCGGTTCTAGTAATCGTTCGGGATTGTACGCTGGCATGTCGTTAGTTTAACCTTTCCTCTGGTTGGTTGCCGAGTTTCATTTATTTTCGTCCAGGAGTTTTCCCGTAACTAAACTTAGAAGAGAGTCACTTCTGATTCCGAGCGGCCCAAAAAATACCCCTCGCGCGGAGGCCGATTTCCGGCACAAGGCGCAGCGGACGATTGGCATTGCTATATTATTTCATACCTATAAATTGTATAAACTTCACTTATAAGCTTGACGTATCTATTTCCATAGGTCTTGAATCTGAGAAGTAACTCATTTTGTCAGCACCCTTCACAAGTGTCTCACATGTAGAGTTGGGGCGAGCGGACGGACCTTTCCCAAAGGCTTTTTTTTTGGGGGGGGGGGGTGGGGGGGAAGAGATATTCCACCATGGACGCCTAGCTACAATGTGGGGCAGGAGGGCGATTTTTTTTTTGGGGGGGGGGGGGTAGTAAGTAGTAAGCAATGGAAGGAGTCGCTCCCCGTCCGTCCGTCCGCTCGCTCGAATGCATGGAGACTCTCCGTCAACGAACTGTTGCCTCTGTCCGATGTGTAGAGAATAGCGAACTACTCTTCACAAACGGACGGCTTGTTACCCGTCCGCTCGTTTGTGAGTAGAACCAGCGAACCGTTCGTTTCTCGCGGATGCTGATTTAGCGAGCCCGACCTGACCCAACTCTACTCACATGTCCACCGGGTCTGGGGGCCCTGGGGGGTCTGTCGGGGCTGGGGCCGGACGTGCCGGCGCCGGAGAGTGAGGAGGGCGGGGCTCTCTGCACCAGATGGATCACTTTCCCGTGGATGTCTGCGGGGACAGCACACAGCAGCAAACATTAGCCTAAGAAATAACTCTTTAAGGACGGAGTTGACACACATGTATGGTCAGTTTTAGTTAGAGTCTTACGGCACTAGGATCATAAATTATTGATGTTGCAAGAAAAATAGGTCATACAAGTGCTGAAGGTTAGAGGTGTTACCAAACAGTAACACACAAAGAAAAGGAGGAGAGATAAAGACTATAAAAGTTTGTTAGGAAAGATGGAGAAAGCCACACCAGAGCACCCGCCAACCCCCACGCTGACATATAAAAAATAATAATAATAATAACAATAATAATAAAAAATTACATTTACATAGCGCTCTATACCATACGAGTAAAAGCTCTGAGCGCTTTATATCAATCACATGATCATCGAAAAATAATAATTCATTCACACAGTATAGAATATTTTCATAGTAACAAGAAAATTATACCAGTTCAACCATATAAAGAAGAACCATTGCAATCATAGATTAATTACACCCACGTAAGAACAGCAGCAAAAACAAAACATATCAGCACTGACTAACACACTAGAAGTAAGAATTAAACAAATGTGTCTTGAGCAACCACTAAAACATGTTCAAGGATTTGTTATTTCTCTGAGATCCAGGGGTAAGGAGTTCTAGATTTCAGGGCCGATAAATGAGACTTTTCTCACCAAAAGATCTTGGTTTCAATCTACCTACAGGCTCTGAATCAAAGAAATCAGAACATTCAGGATAGTTTTATACAAATTAACACCCCCCCCCCCATCTATAAAAAAACACAAAAAAAACAACAACAAAAAACCCCCAACAAACTCCCCCCCCCCAAAAAAAACTGTACTAATCCACACCCTAAGTCATCATACTTGAGACCTAAAGGGCAGGCAAAGACTACCATGATCACAAACTTACCGCAGTAAAGTTTGGACACCTGCTAAGAAATGTGGCCTGAACACTCGAGTGCAGAGCTCAACAACTTACGATACCCGGGCTGCAAAAGCAACAGAAAATAAGAGAAAAAAAAAAGATGTGTTGGTGGACTGAGAGATACCTTCCTTCAATACTGACAAAACATTAACAAGACAACATACATTAGCCCACATTATTTAAAAAACAACAACATACCTAACCTTTATATACTTTCTCACTGCGAAGTAAAGAAAAACATTTGAAGAAGATGACTTACCATAGTCTGTCAATGGCTTTTCATCTTGCATAACACGCCCTTGAAAGATCAGTCTCTGGGTGTCTGCAGAAATTTCCTGTATAGTCGGATAGACTCACTGTATACACACAGTTCATTGTACATTTGGCTCATTGGAAAAGACGATAAACTATATTGATAGTGAAAAAGTAAACTGTCACTAACTCCCGACAATTTCTCCTTCAAAGTTAAGAATCAGAAACTTCAAACGTAACCTTTCAATTATACAACCCCCCCCCCCATTCTACAGAACACTGTCCCATCAATAATATAATATATCATAAAACATTGCAACATTTTAATTTTATCCTGAATTTATCTATACAAAATCTTATTTAAATCACTAAAAACAGCATAAAAATAAAAAGTGGGTTCACTAAGTGATCAAGATATAGTGCAGAAAAAGTGGATCAAGATATAGTGCAGAAAAAGTTTCAGACAGTAACTTAGTAAGTGAGAGATCTAAATTCACGCATCATCCAAAAATAAGACCCGAAGTCTTTATCTAAATTCAACTGCAGCGACTTGATTGGCATTGCTAGGTTCACTTGGAGGAGCGCATGGCATATTAAACCAAAAGTCACAGTTTTATCACTTACAATGGAGCCACTAATTTTCTCTTTGAACTGTCGGACAGTCAACTGAAAAGAGGAAAATGAAAACAACAATCAACACCAGCGACTTGAGGTGTTACAAAAGTGTTGCTTCTTTTCTCATACACGAGAATACAAATTGGAACATCATTCACAAACATTAAGAAAAAAAACCAAAACAGATAGAGGGATGTATGTATGTGTGTGTGTAGCAGACTTAGGAATATATCAAGATAGAAAGGAGGCGAAAGAGCTTGGGGACAAAAGAGACAGATATTCATCACTCTCACAACAATTCAATTAGAACCTGTAACATTAAATGTCCCAACCCATATATATATATGAGCCATTGCCAAAATGTGGGGAAAAACACACACATCTCACATTAGTGTGCATAAAATGTGATGCATTAGTATTTATTCCTCCAAAACGTATACACACGTCAAATATAGGATGTAGAACCTGCATTAGCAGTTTCAGACCCCTTGTCAGCTTTACAATCTTGAGTTTGTAAATTTTGTGCCAAAAATGTTTGTTTTTTAGTGATTCCTGGAGTGTCATTTTGAGCACACCAATGCAAACTTCCAAGAATGTCCAAAATTTAGTATATTTGGGTGTGTTTTTTTTACGTGTGCTTTGATCCTATGTTATTTGTCATTGGGAAAGATTAACTTGCTCAAGAAATCGGTTTATTTGTTTGCAAATAGACGAACAATTCGGATTACTTGTGCGTCTGTCGTGTCGTCACGGACTAGGTGTTTCAGAAAACACCATTATTTTTCAGTAGAATCACCGTAGCTGGTTAAATCTCTTTGCCTATCGTCGTTCATTCAATACTTCAAAAGCCGCGATGCGCGAAAGGAACATCGGGTTCCTAGATCTACGATTTTGGTCGGCTGTTTAACATTCGCCGTTATTGTCGTCAATTTGCGACGTACCGGAAGTCCGAATTTCGCCCACTTTTGTTTTGAACGGGTCATCAAAAGTGCCCGGATATAATTGTTTTCTTGAGTGACTTCCCCTTACCCGCGTCCCCAGAACAACGGAAGCAACGGGGGAAACAGAAAAACGAAAGTAGTCATTGCCTTCAGCGTCTGGTGACGCACAAGAATTTTGCGTTGAATGTGACGTACTGGGCTGTTTTGCGTGTTTTTAGGCTACTCTGTTGAATATTTTAGTGAAATTGCGGTGTTTACACTGGATTCCTGGAACAAGAGTGTGATGTGTGAACAAACTTCGAGAGATGGATCATTTCTGTGGTTATAGATTTAGCTTTTGTGCTCAGTGATGACGTTTGGGGTGTCGTCATGCAGCCGTACAAGACTGACTAATGTACAAGAAATTACATTGTCCTAAGAGCAAACATTTTTTAAGTAATGTGTGCTCTCTTTACTCAAACAAATAAACAAACATGTCCTTGTTTATCTGTCTAACTCAAAAATACACATTTGTTCTTTGTTGGTATGATATACCTTTTTCCAATACATTGTGTCATTGTGTCATCATTGTTATGTACAAGTAATATTTTTCATAATTGCTAATATCAATAAGTTTTCAACATATATTTCATACATGCAAGACTCATTTAGAAGCAAAATACGCCTTTATTGATCTGTGTATCTCTTAGTGCAAATTTGTTCTTTGTAGGCATGATTTTACCTTTTCCCAGTATGTTTTGTCATCACTGTTATGTACGAGTACTGTTTGTCATAATTAGCCACATAATTGTGATCGTCCACTGTCTTTGATATGACTTGGTATCTGTTTCAAAGCAAAAGAAACCTCTCCTGGGTTTTTTTAAAATTCTTAAAGTGCGCTTTTATCTCTGGAGGCAAGACTTTTGTCTTTTCCTGTACATTGTGTCATCATTGTTATGTACAAGTCATGTTTGTCATCACTGTTATGTACAAGTCAGCTCCATTGATTTTGTGCTTTTGCCTCATATTAGTTAAAAAATTGTTTTACACATGTGTTTTTCTGGTACTGAGGCTTTGATAACTGTATTTGTACAGCCTTTCACTATTGTGATGTGTTGTCAATGATAATGTCCAATGTGTATCCTTTCTTGTACATAACAATGATGACATGTTCTGTGCACTGCGTCATTGTTACAAAGCTTGCCATTCATATTACCATTATGAATGGAGTTCATAGTGTACAAAGTCTTTGTTTACTAAACAAATGGAATTTTAAGTCTATAATTTGCCTTGCTGCTTATCTGTTTTTGTCATCACTGTTACATACAAGAAATACAGTAGTTGCCAAACCAATAGACCCATATCTCCAAAACCGTACATCTCCTTGCTCTGATACTCTAGGAATATGAGCACTAAATGTCAATCTGTGACTGACAGAAAAGAGAGTCAAATTGGTAAGAAAATTTTTTTTGCACCACTGAGTCTCAAGAGAGTCTCACGTTTTGGCAATTGCTCATATATATATGACATGTGTGCTCTAGCATAATGAACCAGGAGAGTAAAGCCCTGCACGACATTGAAGTTCAACTGCACTTAAAAATTAGATGGTTGTTTAGTACAAGTACACAATTAAGAGTACATCAGACAATATATGTGACACTTAGAGAATACAAATCATGGTTTTAACTCTAGTCCTGCGGAGTTAACCGGAAGAGGGCTCTTATCGATCGATGACCCACTTACGTCGCCTGCGGGCTTGTGCCGCGGGGCGCCGGGGTCAGGCACTGGTCACGCGAGCGTGCCGTGGCAGGTCAGGGAAACACCTCATCTTTTATAGCAAACTGATACGATCAATGAACAAGTGTTACGATCACACGAATAATCGCATTATCCCCTCGTCGGTAGATCAGAGACGCTTAGATTGGAAGTTACACCAAATCGAATAACTTTTCCAGATTTCACACCTATTATGAATGAACTTGCGAACAGCTGCTTATCAGCTATCGTTCTAAAGGGGAAAAAAATGGGATAATTTCCGAATATTTTTTTTATTCAGTTGCTCTCAAATGTCTCCCTCTGGTAGGACAATGGTTAAAAAACCACCAAATATGATTATTTACATCAGGAAACAACGTTTGGTGTAAGAATTAGATCGTTTGAAAAGTGAGGAAAGGTGTTTGCATTGAAAGATGAAAGTCCTATGTCCTGAATATCCTTTTGAGTCCCTCAAGTGTCTAACTGGGTCAAAATGCTCATATTTCATTGGATGAACGTCTCAACCGACGCTGTTATCTCTACCAACGCCTCGCGTTGCAAAACAATGCAGTAAGTTTGAGATGGACACTCAGGCACAAGCAGATTGACGCACACACATTTTAGCACACAGATGCAGACCCCGCCGTAAACAAAATGTGTTGCCCGCGCGGGACGACGACTGATCAGGGACCAGCTGTGGAGCGCCGCGCGGGACTGCGCTTATCGGGCAAACATTTATCAGGGACCAGAATCTTAAGGGTTAAAATGTTCATTGAAAATAAATTGGGCAAACGTTAAAAAAAATCTTGTGAACTGTAGCCAACAGTAATTACAGCAATAAATGAATCTATGTAAAAAAATGATTCATTCACCTTCTCAGGAACATTAAACGTTCTGTTCTGTCCATCTAAGGTCTTGACAGTAATGTCTATCAGAGCACCATTACTCTCCTGACCATCTGAACTTGACGAAGCCATCACTCCCACCTCACCTCTTGCTCAGGTTTTGAGAACCTGAAACCAAAAATAAAAATTTAGTCTTGCAGGCACATACAACATCAAATTCAAGTTTTTCTCGCGCATGACAAGAGCATGGTAATGGACTAGACCAAACAACTTCGCAGTAGTTGCAGGCCACATTTGGCTTCGGCCCAGAGTAGGTGTTCCACTGCTGCTACACTAACTACAGAGACTACAGCACAGCAGTAACAACAACTCACTCAACTCACTGGCTGAGTGATGTTTGGTGACCTCTGGTCTTCATCAGAGAACAAGACAAAGATGCAAGTTAATAAATTCGATTGGATTGGATTAGATTTAATGAACAATGTAAGAGATGAACTCAATGAAAAAAGAATAAAACTAGAACTGAAACTGAACTCTTGCAAGTAAGTGCGACAGTTCAGTTCCGCTGTTCATGTAGATCTAGGCCTAGCGTTTCTAACAAATCAAAATAACATCACACGATCAAATTTGGTACACAACAAAGGATAATAAATGAGAAACGGAAATTACTTGTTGATAATCTGTGACAATTGGCTTCTCCTTAATACTCTATCTGACGTTTGTGTACAGTAGCAATCGCCTTCCTTGCATATTTTTGTTATCGTAATATTTTTTGTAAGGTCGGTAGAGAAATTTATTGTGTATGAAAGTATGGTCGTTCACTCTATTCTCAAGAAAACGTCGCCCATCAATACCAGGTACAAATATGTGACTGCAACCAACCAACGATCGTGTGATAAACACGGGGCCAATTTTGGCTACCAGTAGAGTAGGCCTATCAATTACAGAATAAAAAATAATTTCCAAAATTTTCAAAAACTAAAATGGCATGAGTAATATTTTTTTGTTGTTCTTTGAAAAAATTGCGACCACCTTACAAAGTACATTGGCCTGCCAATGTGGTATAGTGAACAATTCTGTATACAGGAAGTCTTATTCAGCGAACAATTACTCAGATGATACGGAAAAATATAAACGATATTCACACGCATAATGTTGGAAATACCGTTTGTCCACGATGAAAACGCATAATTTAAGAAACTATTGCAAATCTTGACCACAGAAAGTATGATCTCTGGTTTTCTTTAAAATTGACAGGATGATTTTCATACATTGACGTTTTCACTTAAATATTTAACCCCCTCCCCCGTGATCTATTCATTACCTATTTATGTAAAAATAATAACATCATTATAACACGTCCGTCTAATATTATGGTTTTATATTGTTCTGAGACGTTTTTATGTTTGCGGATGGTTTATTTGTTTGTTTAATTAGCAACAGCAGCAACAACAATAACAATTTAAGAAAGCTCCTGTATTTCCACATTTTCCCATTACAAGAATCATCTAGAATTTCTCCAGAGCAAAGGAGTCAGATAAAAGATCTTAGAACCAGCAATAGGCATATTAGTCACAGTCTTTCCGATCATTATGCAAAGATAATTGAGACAAACTATTAAAAAAAAACACATAAAAAACCCAAGTGCAACGACACCAAACAAAAGAAGAAGGCACCAGAAAAAGCAAATGCATACACCAATTTTTGTCACAGCTTTCAATTTCACAATTTTGAGCTATTCGAGCAGAATTTTAATTGAAAGCAACACAAAATTCCAAAAAAGAACTACATAAGAAAATAGATCGAAAAGAAATTTTGTTTGTTGAAGTATTGAGACCTACAGTAGGTGTTCCAAATAATAATTGCTTTCTTTTCACCATCTGACCTATGGTGGACAAAAATAATGTGGCTCATAACTATCTCAGACTTTCAACACCTACCATTATTATATTTTATAATGCTATTACTGCCACAGAACTGTGAGGTTTTGGATTGTGAAATCGAAACCAGGTGTGGCACTGGATGTGTGGCTAACTTGACTCAAACTGACTGTTGTTTTTGTGTTTCGTTCTCACCACAACTTCTACCCTATTTTCCAGAATGTCTTTGACAGTATCAAGTGAACAACATAGCGTCAAGAACAAGAAAGGAAACACCACTTCTAAGAATGACGACGAACTTTCATACAAAAGGACCCCGGTGTCTGTGGACGAGGTATATGATGGATGGGGGGATGGATGGCCTCTACTAGATCTAGGACTAGATTCTGTTCTAGTGTTAGTGTTTAGATTCTAGATCTAGATCTAGATCTAGTTGTAGTCTCTAGGATGATTACTCTCAAGCTTAAAGTAAAGTCAAAGAGTACAGTTACAACCTGAGAAAGACAACACCTCTATTATTCTCACCCAGGGTGAGAATAGAGCAGGCAAGTCTTTTACTTTTGGCTATTCTCACCCGGTGGGCGTTCGCCGTTATAGCCTAGGCCAACCAGTGAAACGTTCACCCTGAACCACAGAATTCTACACTGTGATAAGAGAATTATAGAATTCTGTGCTGTGAACAAACGTTCTAAATCTATTACTACTGTTAGTGTTAGCCTGCCTGAAACTAAAAGCGTGCAATTTTGTCTGTGGGCAGTGGAGAGAGAGAAAGAGAGGAGTAGCGCGAGAACTTCCGCGCAAAACAAAATGGAGACCCGCGTAGTTCGGCTCGATTCGGAAAGTTAAATAGCCGTAGCATTTTTGTAGAGAACCAAATTAATTTAGATTAGTTTTGTTTTTTAACATCATTTTAAAACTTTGTTTTGATCAATTTGATCGTCCACACCGATAGACAGTATTCAGAAAGGGACAGAGAGAGAGAGGGGGGGGGAGTAGATCTTGCGAGAACTTCCGGGCAAAACAAAATGGCGACCCGCGTAGTTCGGCTCGATTTGAAAAGTGAAATAGCCATAGCATCTTTGAAGACGATCAAATTAGCTTACTTTTGTTGTTATAATGTAATTTTTTCTTGGCTTTTATCAATTTGATCATCCACACCGATAGACAGTATGTATTCCAAAATGAGGAAAAACAGGTCTTGTTTCACACCGGGTGAGAATAGCCTACTAGACGCTGGCAAGTCTCACCCGGGGTGAGAGGTAGATCGTATTTTTATTCTCACCCCGGGTGAGAATAGCCACTTCCGTACTAAATAGCAATCTTTCAGTTTCTCGGACATAGATTGATTTGATGTTTTATTTACCTTTGTTGTATTCGTGTAATAAAGGCTTATTTAATTAAGGTCAGGAAGAGGGTAAACTTTAAGGCAAGGCTTACCTGGTAGGACTGCCGTAACGAGCGACCACCCCAACAAATACTACATCTATGCAATAAAGAAGAGACCTTTACAAACCTTAACCCTAATCAAGGTTAATCCTAACCCTACTTCTACCCCTACCCGTAGCCCTCTATTCTACTTTGTCTCATAGTGGTCGCTCGTTACGGAAGTCCTCCCGCTTACCCTTCCTCTATCCATAAACCTTAACCATCCCCCTAGCCCTTGGCCTTCAGCCTTAGCCTTAGTGGCCTTTAGCCATAGCTTAGCCAAGATGCGTAAATTATTACTATATATTTGTAATTTGTCACTATTGAAGTTATTACCGGAATCCGGTAAATTATATGAATAAAATGTTTCAATCTGAAGCTAGAAGATTGCAGATTACAATTATTTTCTTTGCAATGACGCCCTTTTACTTGTGAATTTTGCACTTTTTGACAAAGGCAGATGAGAATGAAGAAAAAGAAAGGTTTTGAGGCCAGCATGAGTGAGTCTTGAATGAGCACACACAAGTAGTGGGTACGTCATCTGATTTTTCACATATTATAGGCTTAATTTTTCTCACATTATCCCATTTTTCTACTCTCTGCTCGGCGTCCCATTTTGTATACTTTTACCGGAGGTTAACAACACCTACGTGTAAAAAATCATGAAGAATAAGCCAGGATGTTGTTTGTTGTAGAGCTGTACATCATTTTGATTGTATTTGTGTCCTAAGATGGGTTTTTTTTCTGTATTTTTTTTCCCAGCTAAAAGCAAAGAAGTTTTCCAATAAAGAACGTAAGTAACATGTCCATCTTCTCTTATGGTGTCTCTTATTGTGAAAGACTATTATCATTTTATGCGGTTGTGAGAGCCTTAAAACATTTTCTGGAAGCAAACTGAAACTGAAAGTCTTTTACAGAAAAAGGAAGGAGATAAGAGCGAAAAACATTGACTTTCATTTGTTTTTTCTATGCTGCATGTTGAGAACTGAAAAAAGGGTTCAGGTTCATCATGGCTCTTGTGTAGGGTGCCAGAGTTGATTGCCTTTTGTGTGTATGGTATCATGTATGTTTGTGTGTCTGTGTATGTACGTGTGCATGTATGTGTGTGTTCATGTTTGTGTGCATGTATGTGTGAATGAATGCAAAGTAGAATATGCAGTTGATGAGGAGATGTGGCTGGCATTGGGTGCTCTGTTTTATATTCTGTCTTTGCTGTTTCAGTTCACTTGTCTTACTTTTTCTTCTTTTTTGGCACTAAATGGGAATTTTAGGGTCAATGTGTGGCTCTTTTGCTAAAAGGTAAAAAAAATAGAATGCTGTATATTTTCTTAATATCAGTAAACAAAATAATTATTTTTCAAAACTGCGTCTGAATGCAGGTAAAGATTTCAAGCGGAAATGGAGAGAAGAGAAGTTGCTAGCTCAAATGGAGAAAAACAAGAAGCAGAGGCAAGAGAAGGAGCAGCAAATAAAGAAAGAGGAGGAGGAAAAGAAGATGAGAGAGAGATGTGGGCGGTTGTATACAGTCAGCATCGCTCTGCCGGGCTCTATCTTAGACAACGCACAGTCCACAGAGCTCAGGGCCTACCTCGCTGGACAGGTCAGTCTCCTTGGTGGAGTATTCCTTTAGCTTCACCATGCTGTACAGATGTGTTAAGTATCCTGTGGGGGAAGGATGGGGGAGGGGGAGGTTGATTATGTCTTCTCGTTAAGATCTGAATGCCCTTGTAATATGATAATAATAGTAACAGTAATAATAATGATATTAACAGTAATAATAGTAACAGTAAAAATACTACTACTACTACTACCACTAATAAATTGTATTTATATAATTATAATGCATATCCACTAGGAAAGGGCTCGGGGAGCATTACAGTGATACAAAGAACATAGTTCTGTCACGACTCGATGTGATTACTGATGTCCTGTGACTTCTGCTTTGTGGTTGCAGGTGGCCAGGGCAGCCGCTGTCTTCAATGTGGATGAGATCGTCATCTTTGATGAGATGAATCAGTCGAGGTACGGCCTGTCACTTTGCCACATAGAAATGTGGACTAAAATTCAGTTAAAAATGCTGTTATACTAGAAATTTCTCTTGCCAAGGTATATTTGCAACATAAAGGCATACACCTCAAACACATCATGTCATAATGATAATATGTGAGGCAGCGTGGTGGAATCAGGCTCTCGTCAATTTAGGGCTATGTAGAGTTATTGGTATCATCTTAAAGTTTATTCACTTGTCTTTATTTAGATGGAAAAAAATATCCATTTATCTTGAATACAAGTCGAGATATTTGCGAAAGAAGGAGGTGGGGGTCACCTGTTTTCAAAGGTAAAATTAGTGAGAAAATGGCCGCCAAAGATTAGTTATTTACTTACCTTCAGAGTCCGTGGTAACGGAAAATTTCAAACAGAAATGAGTTCTTTGACGAGCATGAAAGGTGTTGAGCCAAAAAACAAAAATTCAATAAAAAATCACAAACATGCGGAAAAATGCAAGTTTCTTCACTTTGATTATTTTGACGAGAGCCTGATTCCACCTCGCTGCCTCACATATAGTATAACACAGATAGCTCAAATTTGTCGGGACCGGCCTCGGTAGTTTGAGGGATATCTTACAAAGATAAAGAAGAAAAAAACCTGGACCGCAGGCACAGTTTGACAGATGTGTGATTTCAAGTCTTCCGTGTTCGACCTGTCCGTGTTATACTGTAGTTTGTCTGCCAGTGTCTGACGTTGGCCAATGCATCTGCGGAGGAGGATAATTTTTATTTAAAAAGAAATAAGGAGAAAGATGATTTATGGCTTTTGCTGTGACCAATAAGACCAATTCTGGCATAGAAGAGTTTGCCACATTTTGAGCATTTAAAAGTTTCATTTTCACATGTGAGTGTGAGCCTCGGGCTAGCCTCTTTCTTGGCTTAAGTATTTCTTATTTGTGGAGTCTCATGTCATTTGCTGCCCTTTGTGATTGCTGCTCTTCAACTGGGTCTTCCAGGTGCTAGGCTCTCCCAATGTTGGGAAGATCTGTGACGTAGGGGGTGTGGCTGTTTATGTATATATACATTGCTTATTTTTTTTTTTTGGTGACACGGTGTCTGACTAGGTGGTTGGCGGGTGCTCTGGTGTGGTTTGCTTCTTCTTTCCTATCAAACGTCTATCGTCTTTATCTCCCCTCCTTCTTTTTTGTGTTTGTTACTCTCTTGTAACACCTCTAATCTTCAGCACTTATATGACCTTATTGTGTTGCAAGTGCCATAAAACACTTACTATAACAAACAGTGTTTGAACATAGTCTAAAGATTGGGTCGGGGTGAATGTTGACCTTGATAGGAAGCCTGTCTCCTAATTGACGTAAACCTTGTTGACTGGGTTGTTGTAACTCATCTGTGGACTTCCGCAGCCAAACGACGTCAGATTTCAGCGGACTGAAGAAGTCGGGCCAGGGCAACAAACAGCTGTTTCACATCCTGCAGTATCTCGAGTGCCCGCAGTATCTGCGCAAGAGTTTCTTCCCTTACCACCAGGATCTGGCCCACGCAGGTACGCCCAATGTTGGTCCTTATTTGCATTTCCCGCAATATTTGAGGTGGGTGGTTGACGGGGGTGCTCTGGTGTGGTTTGCTCCTTCTTTCCTATCAAATATTTATCTTCCTGACTTCTTTTTTATGTTTGTTACTCTACTCTCTTGTAACACCTCTAATCTTCCGCATTTATATGACCTTATTGTGTTGCAAGTGCCGTAAAACTCTTACAAAAAAACCAATAACGGTATTTGAGGGATACAAGGTCAGAGGCAGAATTTAAAATTCATTTAAAAAACATACTCTATGAAATGCCACCTCAATAGTTAGTCTTTCTTATTCATAGTACTCTAATGTTCTGAATGTGCTGTGCATGTCGTCATGGATTGTGCCGCGATAGTATGAATATCTCCTCATGTGTTAACATTAATCTCCAGATCACATACATGCATATGCTCGAGTTCATTCATTTGTATTTTGTGTTAAGATGCATTGCAAGCATTGTAAAGTGCCTAGAGCTGCACTGTACAGCAGTGGGTGCTATAGAAATTACCTGTGGGTGGTTAGCGGGTGCTCTGGTGTGGTTTGCTCCTTCTTTCCTATCAAACATCTTCGTCCTGACTTCTTTTTTATTTTTGTTACTCTACTCTCTTGTAATACCTCTAATCTTCAGCACTTATATGACCGTATTGTGTTGCAAGTGCCGTAAAACTCTTACTAAAAAAACCAACAATATATTTGGGGGATACAAAGTCAGAAGCAGAATTTAAAATTCATTTAAAAACATAGTTTATGAAATGCCATCTTGAATATCATCATTGATTTTGCTGTGTTAGTAGGATGGTCTGCTCTCATGTGTTTGCGTTATTCTACAGATCATATGCATGCATATGCCCAAGTTAATTCATTTTTATTTTGTGTTAAGATGAATTGAAAGAATGTTACAATGACATTGTATATGATGGCCACCTTTTTCCCCAAAAAATTATTGACTGTCTTAGACAGCTTCAACTGTAGTTGTAAAGTGCATAGAGCTCGCGGAAGAGCAGGAATACACACTAAGTAAATGCAATTATCATCAATATTAATATCAGTTATGTCCCTTGTCCAGGTCTGCTGAACCCGCTGGACATCCCGCACCACCTGAGAGAGTCGGACGTCAGCGAGTACCGTGAGGGCGTGACCTTGAAGAAACCTGTCAGTGGCAAGAAGGACGCTGGTTCTTATGCCAACATCGGATTGAAGAAGGTCTGGCCACCGGTCATTTCTTGTGGTGTTTTCATTCATTTTTCCTGAATTTGTTGGTCATTTCTTGTGGTGTTTTGATTCATTTATCCTGAATTTGTACCAGTCATTTCTTGTGATCTTCTAATCACGGGCATATTGCATACAGATGTATCTCAAAGGCCGCCAAAAATGACTTACGTCTATATGCAAACTGAAATGACTTACGTCTATGTGCAATACTGCCTGTGTTAATGTGGTTATCTGAATTTGTATTGGTCATTTTATGTGGTTTTCTAATGTAGTTATCTGAATTTGTACTGGTCATTTGCTGTCATCTTCTGGTGTGTATGCCCTAAATCAATGTTTGTCATCCTATTTATAGCCAGAGCTCACTTTTTCCACCTTTAACAGGCTGACATTTGTGTACCGCCCACCCACTCGTATTTCTATATATTATAATAACACTGCGTAACTTGTAAGACAAACACTTTTTTCTTCCACAATGAGTGGCTGTCTCGAACAATTTCGAATGTGTTTATGTTTATTGAGACAAATCTAATTTAGTGTAAAGCGCATAGAGCCTGCTGTTGAGCAGGGATATGCGCTATACAAATGCTATTTATTATTATTATTATTAAACCTATAGCTTTTCCCCCATTTTTTCCCCCTTTTTCTCCGCGCCCCCTTTTTTCCCCCCGTCCCCTTCCCCAGGAGGCGATCCTCAACATGAATGTGCCACCAGGTCAGAGGGTCACGGTGAAACTTCTGGAACAGAAAACGGGTAAAAAGTTTTGGGGTTTTTATCATCTATACAAAAGTTTCTATGTGTGGTCGGAGGGGGGCCACTGGATAGTTCTATCTTTTTTTCTTTCCTTCTGTTGTTTCTGAATCTCTGTCTTGTTTTTTTTTTTTCCTCCATACTAAATAATTGTACTTTTATCAATGTGTTCTTGAAACTGTTAATGTACATTTTTGTATCCATTTATTCAATGGTTTTCAATAAAATATACACAGAAATGTGTTTTTAAATGGAGATAAAAGGTGTTGAGTCCAAAAAACTAAAACTTAATACAAATTGCCAAACTGGCAGAAAAATGCTGGTTTTCTATTTTATTATTTTGACGAGAGCCTAATTTCACCACGATGTCTCATACACACACACACACACACACATATATATATATATATATATATATGTATGTATTATATATATATGCTTCTGTATGTGAATACATCCAACGTTTGTCATCTTGATGAAGTTTTTCTCGTGTGTATTTTTCCCTCCCAGACAAAAAGAACCTGCGTGGAGAAGTTGTGTCCCCTAATGAGCCGCGTGAAGTGGCGGGCACGTACTGGGGCTACGTGGTGCGGCTCGTGTCCTGTCTGAGCGAGGTGTTCACTTCCTGTCCCTACCAGGGCGGCTATGACCTCACTGTGGGCACCTCCGAGAGGGGTCAGGATGTCAACGATGCCCAGATACCAAGCTTCAAGTAATTCTTTCGCTGTTCTTTCCTTGGAACAATCATTATATTGATGGGGGTGGGTGGTTCTTGGGTCGAGGTTATGTCGTTATTGTATGTACCGGTACAGCAGGGGACTCAAACTCAAACTACCCGGGGGGCCACTGGAGGTAGAGTCTGGGTGAGCCTGGGTCGCAGCAAATATTCCACACACCGATGAAAAAGTTTCGAGTATTTTTGAAAAGTGCAACTGTTGTAATCTTCTCAATCTATTAATCGCCGTTCTGGACATGAATGGTTTTTCACCACTGGAGACAGTTATGATTCTGAGATCTGTTACCCCATAATTGAAAAAGATTAGAAAAATCTAGCTCAATATATGGACAAAAAGGTGCGTGTTTGAAAACTGCGCGGACTGCAGGAACACTAAACTATAATGTCATGTAGTAAGCTGGGGTTACAAAATATCGTCCTCCGAACGTCAGTTGGCGGGTGGGCCGTCAGCTTGAGACCCTTGACTTAACAGTGTGTGTTGGATTGTTTTCTTGTTTCGCTGAATGAAGAGATCTTTAGTATCTGTCGTGAGCTTAGCGCTGGTGTCTTTCACGTCTCTATAAGACATTATAAGCACTGTGTTCTTGTCGCCATTCTGTCTTTAGACAGACCCCATGGACGCCTGTATGTCTTCTTCTTCTTCTTCTTCTCGATCGCATCACACTTGAAGTCCGGTATCTGTCATAAATTGGGCCGTCCTGCTCAGTTCATCTGGCGGCCCGTATAGCTTCTCTTGTAGCGTCAGTGGGGTTGGCCACGTTTCCTGTCTCAGGGCCCTGTGTGTCTTGCTGTGCTGAAGGATGTGTTCAACAGTTTGGTCCGCCTCTACACACTGGCATTTTGGTGATTGTACTAGTTTAAAACATCTGTTCATATGTTGTCTCAGCCTTGTGTGTTGTCGCTTGTAAGTGACACAAGTGTATGTGCTTAACACCCCTATCAACACTATTAGGTTATTCATGAGAATATTGAGGATGAAATGTGGGTGACTGGCTGGCATTGTGGTGTGGTTTGTTCCTTCTTTCCCATCAAACATCTGTCATATTCTATCATACACAGCTCTCCTTCTTTTCTTTGTTTTTTTTACTCTCTAGTGTCACCACTAACCTTTGGCGTTTGTATGATGATCTATTTGTGTTGAAAGTATCGTAAGACTCTTACTATCTTACTAAATCTAAACTGAAGATGATGATGTCAATGATAGTACCCCCCCCCCCCATCCCAGGGCAGTGCCACTGACTGAAGTGTCTTTAGGCCATTCCCAAAGGGGGGGATAGTAACATGTTTTTATGCACAGTAGAATTGTAAATAGGCTGATTTATCAATGTCATGTTTCTTTCCTCATCTTGACTATCGTCATTTTTTTCCTCTATTTGTTTTGTATGTTTGTCACTCTCTTGGGAACTGCTGTTTCCGGGGTGCCTTGATAGTCGAAGCAGACTTTGTGCTGTTGAGGCTAGAGGGGTGAGCAGAGTAAGCCTGATTCCCCGTTTGGACTTTTCTGTTGACATCCACCTCTTGGCGCTCATAATATGACCTTATGCAGTTGCGAGCCCGGTAAAACCTGACTAAAACTAAACTCTTATTAAATCTAAACTGAGGATGATGATGTCGATGATAGTAACAATGAAAGTTCCCAGGCACGCCATCATTGTGTTTGGAGGTCTGAAGGGTCTGGAAGCCAGCGTGGAGGCAGACTGCAACATCGGCACAGACGACCCCAGCGAGATCTTCCAACGCTACGTCAACGTTTGTTCACGACAAGGCAGCCGCACCATCAGGACTGAGGTGGCTGGTTCTGCTTCTGCTTCTTCTTCTTTTTCTTCTTCTTCTTCTTCTTCTTCTTCTTCTTCTTCTTCTTCTTCTTCTTCTTCTGCTATGTGCTCCTCTTTATCCAAACAAATTGAGCAGTTTAAAGGTCATCACCCTTATACTTATAAATGCCGTTAGGATCGTGTGGTCAGCGGGGAAAGTACTGAACCAACTCCTGACCGCATCACGGAAAGTCACCAATAGATATCAGTGGTGTAATAGCTACTTCATTTACTTAAACTTTTAGGTTACTTTTTCTGGCCTCTCTTACCTTACAGTGTCGATTGGAGAAGCATTTTATTATTCCTGTTGTAATTATTATTACTATCTTTATTTAAAACGATTAATCATCTTCCCCTAATCTCTTGTCTTATTCCGTTGCAGGAGGCTATACTGATAGCAATGACGGCGCTCTCACCCAAGCTGACCAGTGCTAATGCTGCCTCGTCTTGACCTAGATTTCTTTTACTTTATCTGAAGTATATTGCAATTAGAAAATAAAACATATTATTACGCTCAACTGTCACCACTCGGAATTGGTTCTCATTTATTCCCGCTGAAAAAAATTTAATTAAAATGTAACGTTGATGTGGTCTTTGTGCAGACGATTGCTTGTTGCTGCTGCTGCTGCTGCTGCTGCTGCTGCTGCTGCTGCTGCTGTTGTTGTTGCTGCTGCTGCTGTTGTTGTTGTCACAATAGAAGTGTAGTTGTACCCATTCCCACCTGGGTGAAGTGAGGAAAATTTGTGTAAAGTGCCTTTCCCGCAAGGACACGTCGGGCCCCTGACGGGATTTGAACCCACGACCTTACGGTTGCGAGTCCGAGAGCCTAACCACTAGGCTACCAATGCCACTCGACGGTCAAGTGCATGCGATGGGGGGGCGACCCACATAGTGGACATCGGCCTACGGTGAAGAACTTGGAGAGGGTGGGCACTGCCGAGCTTCTCTGCCCTCACACACCACATGAAATGACACTCAGCTCAGAAAGGGCGAGAGCTGATTGTCAGATGCAGTGGTGCCCCCACGGTTGCCCCAACCACAGGATAAGAAGATCTATCTGTCTGTTCAAGTTCTCTGTGTTGGTTATTATTAATTATTGGTGTCTACTTCTGCTTCTTTCGGGTGGGTGGTTACTCTAGTTAGTGGAAGGTGCCACTGGTAGGTCCTACTTC